GCTGAGCTGGGCTGAGCTGGGTGAGCTGAACTGAGCTGGGCTGAGCTGGGTCAGCTGAGCTGAGCTGGTTGAGCTGGGCTGAGCTGGGTGAGCTGGGCTGAGCTGAGCTGAGCTGAGCTGGGTGAGCTGAGCTGAGCTGAGCTGAGCTGGGCTGAGCTGAGCTGAGCTGAGCTGGGTGAGCTGAGCTGAGCTGAGCTGAGCTGGGCTGAGCTGAGCTGAGCTGAGCTGGGTGAGCTGAGCTGAGCTGAGCTGAGCTGGGCTGAGCTGAGCTGAGCTGAGCTGGGTGAGCTGAGCTGAGCTGAGCTGAGCTGGGCTGAGCTGAGCTGAGCTGAGCTGGGTGAGCTGAGCTGAGCTGAGCTGAGCTGGGCTGAGCTGAGCTGAGCTGAGCTGGGTGAGCTGAGCTGAGCTGAGCTGAGCTGGGCTGAGCTGAGCTGAGCTGAGCTGGGTGAGCTGAGCTGAGCTGAGCTGAGCTGGGCTGAGCTGAGCTGAGCTGAGCTGGGTGAGCTGAGCTGAGCTGAGCTGAGCTGGGCTGAGCTGAGCTGAGCTGAGCTGGGTGAGCTGAGCTGAGCTGAGCTGAGCTGGGCTGAGCTGAGCTGAGCTGAGCTGGGTGAGCTGAGCTGAGCTGAGCTGAGCTGGGCTGAGCTGAGCTGAGCTGAGCTGGGTGAGCTGAGCTGAGCTGAGCTGAGCTGGGCTGAGCTGAGCTGAGCTGAGCTGGGTGAGCTGAGCTGAGCTGAGCTGAGCTGGGCTGAGCTGAGCTGAGCTGAGCTGGGTGAGCTGAGCTGAGCTGAGCTGAGCTGGGCTGAGCTGAGCTGAGCTGAGCTGGGTGAGCTGAGCTGAGCTGAGCTGAGCTGGGCTGAGCTGAGCTGAGCTGAGCTGGGTGAGCTGAGCTGAGCTGAGCTGAGCTGGGCTGAGCTGAGCTGAGCTGAGCTGGGTGAGCTGAGCTGAGCTGAGCTGAGCTGGGCTGAGCTGAGCTGAGCTGAGCTGGGTGAGCTGAGCTGAGCTGAGCTGAGCTGGGCTGAGCTGAGCTGAGCTGAGCTGGGTGAGCTGAGCTGAGCTGAGCTGAGCTGGGCTGAGCTGAGCTGAGCTGAGCTGGGTGAGCTGAGCTGAGCTGAGCTGAGCTGGGCTGAGCTGAGCTGAGCTGAGCTGGGTGAGCTGAGCTGAGCTGAGCTGAGCTGGGCTGAGCTGAGCTGAGCTGAGCTGGGTGAGCTGAGCTGAGCTGAGCTGAGCTGGGCTGAGCTGAGCTGAGCTGAGCTGGGTGAGCTGAGCTGAGCTGAGCTGAGCTGGGCTGAGCTGAGCTGAGCTGAGCTGGGTGAGCTGGGCTGAGCTAGGTGAGCTGAGCTGAGCTGGGCTGAGCTGAGCTGAGCTGAGCTGGGTGAGCTGAGCTGAGTTGGGCTGAGCTGTGCTCAGTGAGCTGGATAGGCTGAGCTGGATTGGGAAGAGCTGGGTTCAGCAAAAATGGCTCGGGTAAGCTGGCTTATCTCAGAGGACTGTGCTAGTTGCTTTGGCTGCATTAACCGGCTGGTCCACGTGGGTACCATGGGCTGAGCTGACTGTGCAGGACCGAGCTGCTGACCCTGGACTGACCCCGTGACCTGGTTGTGCTCAGGATGTGTTGAGTTGAGTCTGTGTCCTCCCATCACACACACCGTCCTTTGGAACCCAGGCACCCAGGGCTGGGCTCCATGTGGCAGAGCCACAGCAGTGAGGGCTGGGCTCGCAGGGGCTCCTCTCTCACTGACCGCTGCCTGGGGATCCCCGGGTGCTGGGACTGAGCGTGCGGCTGCAGTGGTCAGAGGGAAGGCGACACTGTCCTGGGCCTGGGCCGTGTGAGCCGGGAGCCAGGGTGCACGTGCGCCTGCATCTGGGGACAGCACTGCCAGGGGAGGAAGGGCCAGTCCTGACACTCCAGCAAGAGCAGCTCTTGCCCTCCCAGGCTCAGAGCCAGCTCCTGAGGGGTGGGGGCCATGGCAGCCTCCCCGGACCCAAGCCTTGGCCAGGGCTCCAGCCTGCCACACTGCCTGCCCCACAGGTGGCGAGGCCTGGGGGGCCCATCGAGGGGCAGCCTTGGGGTGACAGGGCCTGGCCCCTGACCTGCTGAGTCTGGAAAGTCATCCTCTCACACCCCTTTCTCTTTTGTCCCTCTCGGGTCCTCAGAGAGCGTGTCTGCTCCCAACGTCTTCCCCCTCGTCTCCTGTGAGAACTCCCTGTACGATGAGCGCCTGGTGGCCATGGGCTGCCTGGCCAAGGACTTCCTGCCCATCCCCGTCACCTTCTCCTGGAAATTTAAGAACACCAGCGACATCATCAACCAGAACATCCAGACCTTCCCATCGGTCCTGAGGGGAGGCAAGTACGAGGCCAGCTCGCAACTGCTCCTGCCCAGCGCTGACATCCTCCAGGGCACGGACGAGTTCGTGACGTGCAAGGTCAAACACTCCAATGGCGAAAAAGAGGTGCAAGTGCCCATCCCAGGTGAGCGAGGCCTCCCCCCTGGCGGGCGGGCGGGCGAGGGGGGTGGGCAGCCTTGTCCCCTCCCCCCGCGACTCCTTCACTGGCCCCGGCCCCCGCACGTCCACGCTCATCTGCCAGGCCACAGGCTTCAACCCCAGGAAGATTGCGGTGTCCTGGCTGAAGGACGGGAAGCCGCTGAACTCCGGCATCGTCACGGACAAACCAGAGGTCGAGCGCAAAGCCCGCCCCGTGACCTACAGGGTCACCAGCAGGCTGACCATCACCGAGAGCGACTGGCTCAGCCAGAGCGTGTTCACCTGCCAAGTGGAACACCAGGAGCTGATCTACCAGAAGAATGTGTCGTCCATGTGCGGCCCCAGTGAGTGTTCCTGCCCCGAGGGCCCAGGGCAGAGACCCCCAACACGCAGGTGTCCACTCGGGTCGGCAGACCCTGCCCCCAACGAGGCCGGCAGCTCCCCGAGCCTTGGCTTCCCAGAGAGGCCAGGGGCGGGGAGGGGACCCCACAGGGCCGCTTGGGGCCCCTTGTCCCCTCCCTGCAGGTGGCGAGGCCCAGTGTCCCCTCCGGCAGGACCGCAGGGCCCAGAAGAGGCTCGGCTAAGTTGACCCCTTGTCCTGATTCCATCCCCTCTCCTGTCCCAGGTTCGTCCACCATCCGAGTCTTCACCATCCCCCCAACCTTTGCCAGCATCTTCCTCACCAAAGAGGCCACTCTGTCCTGCCTGGTCACGGACCTGGCCACCTATGACAGCCTGAGCATCACCTGGACCCGCCGGAATGGCGAGGAGTTGAAAACCCACGTCAACATCTCTGAGAGCCACCCCAATGCCACCTTCAGTGCCATAGGCAAGGCCACGGTGTGCGTGGAGGACTGGGAGTCGGGCCAGGAGTTCACCTGCACAGTGACCCACACGGACCTGCCCTCGCCGCTGAAGCACACCATCTTCAGGCCCAAGGGTAGGCCTTCCCTGCCCTTCCTGCCACCCCAGACCCTCCCACACATGGCATCCAGGGCCTGGACCCCATGGCAGGCCCCGGAGCAGAGGCACATATGCACATGGACACAGGCACAAATGCACATGGACATAGGCACATGCACACGGACACACAGATACCTGCACATTCATACACTAAGACACACAGGCACACATGCCCTCTGCTCGCCCTGTTGTCAGGGAAGAACCCCACTGCCCCTGACCTGAGCTCACCCCATTCCTCTTCCCTCAGAAAACGCCAAGCACATGCCCGCGGTGTACGTGCAGCCACCCAGCCGGGAGCAGCTGAGCCTGCGGGAGTCGGCCTCAGTCACCTGCCTGGTGAAGAGCTTCTCACCCCCAGACGTG